GAGATAGTGGTAACCCCTTCAACGACTGAAACACGTCCTCGAACTCCTGAACCACCCGGATCTTACTCACCGCTACCTCTCCGACAATATCTGGCATCACTATCATCGCCAAGTAGGCTTCCCGCCCCTTTTTAATCAGCTTCTCCACCTACATCGCCGAAATTTCCAGAATCCCCGAAATCGATCTCACACCCTAGTAATACAACTTCGGTCCAGACCGCTTGAACTAGACTCTCCCGCGGTGACAATCCAGATAATATTTATGCCGAGCCAACCAATCCATGCCAAGAATCACATCATATAGCTCCACCAGACTAATATACAGATTTGCCGGCATTGACTCTCTCGCAATCTGAACCGCTAACAAAGCGCCTCCTGCGACTCTAACGGCTCCAAAATAACTACCACCCACCGTGCACTCTGGGGTAATGAAGCTATTCGTAGCTCCAGAGTCAAACAACACGTGGGACGAGAACCCGTCCACCAATAGGGCCCTTACACAAACCCTTACACTAAGAACCCCCAACCCCACAATCACTTAAAACAATTCTAAACCGATAGAAAGTAAACAAACTGAGTCTTAGAATTAAACATGTGATCTGTCAAACGTTGCATGGCTCTCCCGTCTCCACAGTCGAGTAGAACCGCGGTCCTTCGATCTATGCAATTGGTGGTGCTCCTAGCTATGCCATAGACTGAGCCCACGGTTACATTTCTAGTTGCACTGCCGGCTACACCCACTGTTACACCCCCGGCTGCTCGTTCTTCTTCCGACAGATCGCCAGCTCGTGATCCATGCTTCTGCATCTAAAGCATCTCCGACAACCCTGACCTGTCATGGAAGCATCATCCCACTTCCTTTTCTATCCCTGCGCATGCTTGTCGTCCCTGCTCAGAATCGACTGCGAGTGGAACTTCTTTGGCTGCAGCGACGGATTAGGAACCTCAGCTCGTCCTCAATACCCACCACCACCTCGACCAACTCCACACGCGACCGGTAGGTTTGCACCTTGCATCGCACTTTCATGTCATGGTTGAGACCCTTCATGAACCGACGCACCTGCATCTGCTCCGGATCTCACTCATGTCGTGGTTATTACCCTTCATGAACCGACACACCTACATATGCTCCGGATCTCTCACATGACCCGAGTACACCAACAGTCTGCTAAACTCTGAGTCGTATGACTCCGGGACATACTTGGCATTAAACTCTGACAAGAAATCCTCCAACATCATCAATCCTTGCTCCCTCTTGGCCAGCACACTCTTCCACAACAAGTGTGCATCACGAGCCAAGTAGTGAGTTCTTAGGTCCATCCGGTACGCCTCTGGGTACCTCATCGACTGGAAGTACCGCTCCAATCTTACCTGCCACTCATCCACTACAACCGGATCGGAAGCCCCAAAGAACATGGACATTCCGAACCGCTACAGCTGCTCCATCATCCACAGATAGTACGGCTGCTGAACAACCAAACCTATTCCCTCTGGCTGCACAACCCTAACACTAGGCTGCACACCGGGACCACCTGGCTGCACGCCAAGCCCACCTGGCCCAACATGTTGCACTCCCGCCACCCCTGGCGGTCCACCGCTCCAAAAGCTGCGTCAGCAGATCCGCTATACAATCATTCTGACCTTGGGCCTCACCTGTTGGAACACTCCCAACCGGGTTCCCAGCCACACCAGTACTGTCTCCAGGCAAGCCGGCTCTAAAGGCACTCACACTGGCATCGCCCAAAGATCCTTCCTAATACGACTGAGAATCGTGGACATGCTCGTCCACACTCGTGTTGCTACCCGAGGCAACACCACGCCCCCTACCGCGACCAAGCCCACAGCAACGACCACGACCAGCAGCTCCACCTCTAACAATTAGCACTAACAACAGAAGGCTAAGTACAGTTGAACATTAATCCACAAAACACACAACTTACCATGGAATCTCATTGAAGGCTCGAAAGAATGATCTAGGTCCCCATGCCCACATATTTGATTAAACACATAAAATCACATCATCATATCTCATCAACGAAACTCACACATCACATCAAAACCACCCATTTTACCCAGCCCTAGAACCGTAAGGGCTCTGATACCAAATTGAAAAGACCCGGCCCAGTTTTTTTTTATCATGCAAACCGGATTAACCCAATTAAAACCATCTCAACTAGCTAAACCGGACTAAATCAATTTAAACCATCCAATCCCAATGTTAATTGGTTAACCAACAATTCCAATTTAACCAATCATAAACAATAACCAGCAAAAGACTTAACCAAACAATTCAAGTAATTCAAATGCATTAAACCAGTATTCCAAGAATATTCAAACTAGTCATTATCCAGAAATAGAAAAGCATCCTAACATGTTTCTAGATTCCAGACTAACAACCTAACAAACAACCTAACAATACAATAACATAAAATCACGACACAACCAGCGAGTCCCCATATCATTATTCTCTCCTCCCCATGATTCAACGATCACACCTTTCCTTTACATGCATCACAAAAAGAGATGCATAAGTATTTCATAAATACTTAGTGAGGCATTCATCCCCACAAATTGCTATAATACACAAGCAGCATAATTCACATCCAAGCAATAACCAACAATCATAAAATGACAATACAAATGACCACATAATCCGACGACATGACTAGTAGTGTCGATCGACACTCGCAACTTGTGTCGATCGACAATCGCGACCATCCTCGTGATACAGAAGATTGGTGTCGATCGACACACACCACTGGTGTCGATCGACACCGATGCCCTAACATCACTCCAATCGTTTCTCATTAACGGATCTGCTCCTCCAATCAATCCATGGCCGAATATATACTCCACAAGACTTGTCCAGAGGCACCACAACACAAGAAACATGCATACAAACAAGGAAAGTCAATCAACAACCATAGAAATCAACAAAACATGACTCAAACAACATAGATAAACCTAGGTCCTGCACTCACCTCTTAAACAAGAAAGTACAGCAACGAACAGGGGCTGACAGGGGTGAAAACAAACTCCTCAGACACCAAACACCACAGATCTAACATCTTTTAGCCTAGAACCACCAAGAAACAGCCTCAAACCTCTCTCAAACCTCATAAAACCTCACTGGAGAACTTAGAAACTTTTAGAGCTTTTGAGCAAAACAAAAAACAGCAGCTGAACAAAACAAGTCGACTTTTCTCCTTTAAAAAGTCGAGCCCTAGGTTAAACTAATCCCAAACCACTTGATTTTGCAATTAAATTCAAATCGGTCTAACTGAAAAATGTTGGTGTCGATCGGCACCACCCATTTCCGAACATGAGTGTTACAAGGCATATATATATAGTAGGGGGAAAATTGATTCGATTGTAACCTATCCCGGAAAAAACTTGATGATCAAGTTGCATAGATTATATAAGATCTTTAGAATAAATTACATATTTCCTTTTGAGAAATACATCTGTTAAGTAATATTCTAACGAGTAAGAGATATTGTACTTGAAATGCAAATGTTAATATTGTGATAGCTATGTAACTGGGAAAGAGATATTGTTACTTGAAATGCGATTGGTGGGTTATTATTAAAGAGATGTTATTTAGAAACGAAGTTAATGCGTTGTTGATAGTTAGGCAATTTGTTAGGTGATTTTTTTTTGTCATCATAAATATAAGATTACCTCAAATGACCCAATTCGGAGGACAGTTGTTCAAGCTGCCAGATACGAGGGAGCATAAGGAGAAGGGACTTCATATCTTGGCGACAAGGATTCATGCAGCGACCGATCACCGTCTTGGAGTAGCCTTCAATCAAAGTAGCATTCTCAAAAAACGGAACTTTAATCTTCCTCTTAGGAACTGAGGCCACCATCTTCTTGTTAGAACCGGAACGAAGCAAAAGGCTTTGAGACATGGCGGCTAAAAAAAGTAGAAACAAAGGAACACCACAATGAGGCAAAGAGAAAAGGAAGAAGAAAAAAAGCGAGAATGAGACAAGGGATAGAAAGACCGTGACGAGCCAATTTGTAGCTCTTGCGTTTCCTTAACCATTCGAATCCTTGATTGATATGCTGAGTGATTGCCGGCATAATAACCTTCCAAAAACCTTCGTGAATCGCCATCAAATCTCCCCATAATCCACCGAAAACAAGGCTCAAATCATGAGGATATAAATCTTTCAAAGAATACTGAATCGAATACTCCCAAATCTCATCGATTCCTTGGGAATACTCCCTTTCTCTTCCGCAATCACCGGTCCCCTCGAGCCACTGATAAACCGAGAAACAGCCAATTACATACACAAAGATGGAAACTTGATCTCGAAAACACTCCAAAAACTCTTGCCATAACCCATAAGATCCCGTATCGATTATTAAAATTCAAATCACCATCCCCTTGAAATCCTTTCTTCCCTTATGAACATCCCACCAGAAGATACAAGATCTAACCGAATTTGTCGAATCCAAAACCCGAAATCTCATCCCTAGGGCAAACCTTAGGGTAGCTGCGCCGTCGCCTTCCACGAGAGAGAAAAGAGCATTTTTTTAATCCTAGTAACATATTTTGTTAGGTGATTTATTTTTCGAAAAATCATGATTATAGAATAGAAAGGTTTTGTTTGTAAATCAATATTTTCTATGGCAATCTATATTAAATAAACAATCGGAAACGACACAAATTAGAGATAACATGGACCCATTCGGTTTACGTGGGCTTGATGAAAAATTAAATAATAATAGCTATTTGGCCTTTCCTTAAGAACGTTTTAGTTTTGGTTGAAAAATCCATAAAACTAAAATCGGGTTGTAATTATTGCTTTCAAACTATCGATTAGGCTTTTTGTCTCATATCCATATATGTGTGTGACTAATTAAGCTAAACCAGCAGAATTCTTGATCGGCACTAACGTGAGGCCCAATAACCATGGGCTTTTTAACCATCCAAATATTTAATTTCAATGCAAAAAAAAACATGGTTGTCGTTCTTGGTCGACAACTCTGAAAATCAACAACTCTGAAAATCCCTGGGCGTTAATGTAAAAATCTATCAAACCTCTTTCTCTTCTTTCACATTGTTAAACACTAAAAAAATAAAGTCGTATCCTTAGATCTTTGCTAATCAGTAATCAATCAATTATCTTTTTGAGGTAAAGCTTCTCCGAACGTATCTAAAGGATCTGTTTCGATCCTTGTCGTAATTACAGCGCAATCGTAATTGTTCCCTGAATTGTTAATTGGATCTGAGTGAAGTATTCGATTTTGATTGTCTTATTAAAGATCGTAAAATTTACATCTTTTGTTGTTATTTTCAGGAGGAGACTCGGGATTTAGTTTCTTCTTCGATTCGGGGGTTCGATTGAATGGCTAACACTGCTTGTTTTATAATTGTGGGTCGGAATGATATTCCCATCTATGAAGCTGAAGTTGGATCTGCTGCCAAAGTACATTTCTTGTTCCTTCATTGCGTTTTGCTCCATTTCTTGTTCCTTCATTGGTCATTATCTTATTATTACTATCTCTTCAGGTTCTTGAAGTCTGTTGACAGGTTTAACGTTCTGGTTGTGTCAGTCTATGTTACAGCAGGCCATATCCTTTTTTACCTTGGAACTAATTACTAATTTAAACCCTTTGAGTTCTAGTTCAAATAAACTGATGATTCAATCGCCTAAATATAGTGTCAGATTGGTATGTTGACTTTTGTGCTTTACAGATTCATCTTCAGTTTATATCTTCCTTAATTAATCAACACATACCCGCCTCATGCTCCTTCATGATTCTCGCAACGAGGATGGCATCAAGAGCTTCTTTCAGGAGGTGCATGAGCTTTATATAAAGGTATTTTTGATTAATGAATCTCGCAGTTGGTTCTGTCCTGATTCATTGGTTTAGTCACCATCGTTAAAATTGTTTTTGTTGATGCAGATTCTTCTGAATCCCTTGTATCTGCCGGGTTCGCGGATAGCATCGTCACATTTTGACACCAAAGTACGTGCACTTGCAAGAAAGTATCTTTAGAGAAGACAGAGAGATTTCAATGCTCAGTTTGCTTCTATCCATATGTTGTTTCTCTTTTATCTTCTCTGTGAGAAACGCAGTAAGAGTGACTTAAAGTTCTGATCTAGCATGTGAGAACTTGCAGTGAGAAAAGTATATCTAGGAAAAGGGTTCGTCAACCACCCCTGCCGGTCTTCATCGAGATGAGTATGAAACAATGGCTGGGGTAAGTAATAAGATCATGCATGGCACAATGTATCTTTGCTTCTTCTTCTGGTTCTCTCTAATGTACACTGCAAGAACCACTTTTGGTCTCAGTGATTGTGACAAGGCAGCTATTATATATATACAATGGTAGAAGTCGGCATCAATATAAACTGAAGATATGCAACTATGAAAACCTGATTAATCAAAAAATTTAAGAAAAGGTATATAAAGATTTGATTCTTTAAAGAACATAAACGCATAGGTAGATCACAAATGACATGCCTCATTCATTCTCTCACTCTCTCTTCTTCATCTCTTGTTGCTCCTTCTTCTACTACTACTTCTACTATCGTCATCATCCAAACTGTGATGTTTGACTTGAGTATCTTTACGTAGTTAACATTAAGATCCTCTACATACTCAATAGCATCAGTACCATCATGCTTCAATTCAATCCCACCTAATTTACCCTTACAGTTGATCAATCTAATGTTTTTTTCATCAGGAAAGCATTCTTTTGCATCAACAAACTTGAATTTCTAAGATCTAACATCAAAGCAAATTATCACTTTAGACCAGTCACCGTTCTCTTCAGCAGCAGCATGAGGATGTTGAGCTAAGTAATACAATACCCCATTGATGCATAACTGCATATATTTTTACACCAACGAAAAGGATAATGGGTCAAGGGACACTGAATCACATAAACTAGGCGTATTTGTTTTCCCAGTGCGAAACCGAACCGAACCAAAACGGTTTTTCTCGGGTGGGTTCCGGTTCGGATATTCGGTTCAGTGTTTTTTCCCGGGGGTAACCACATTTTTCACAAATTAATTTCAGCAGATTCTTGCATGCAAAGTCACATATCCTTACGAATTTCATAGCAGAATGACTTCGTGGAAAAAAAAGACATCACGCATGCAGTTTAGCTCATAATATAATGGACTGGTTCTAATTTTTTTTTTATCAATTTTCTATGTAGTGTAATATAAAGTGGTTATGTAAATTATTTAGTTTAACGTGAAAGGGGTAAATAAAAAAGAAACATATTGCTGATGAAATGATGAAATGATGAACTGAAAACAAAAACAAAAACAAAGTGAAGAAAGACAACACTAATTAGTCTAACTAGTCTAGTGTTGCCTTAATGTGAAACAGCAGCTACGTACTTCTTTGTAAGCAAAGTAGTTCATTCATCAAGTATTGTTGACTAGATACTCCAAAGTGCCAACAAATTTATCGGTGTAACCGGTTCGTAAACCATCACTAACCAAAACCTCCTTCAATTTGGAGTGGTTCCTCCTCACTAGACTCCCTATCTTGCTATCTTGGTCCATCACCGATGTGATTGCAACACTCAAGCTCTCCTTCGAGGACCATCCAGTTTCTTCTCTTTCCACTTCCACCGAGACCTTGAGCTCTTCACTCATCAATCTTGTGTTGAGAACTTGATCAGCTAAAAACGGAAGCAATACTATTTGGCAATCACTCATTAGAGATTCCCACATTGACCCGAATCCACAATGGCTACCAAAACAGCCTACTGATGGAGAGCCAATATCAATGGTTGTTGCACCCATTCTCCCCAAACCACTCCACGACCTTTGACCCTCTCTTCGAACCCTTTTGGTAACGCTTTCTTGAATTTTCTTTGAGCCTTTAGGTGGCTTTATTGCTATAAAAAAGGGTAAACTTGTTAGCTCTATTTCCTAAACATAGTTCTTGGAATTGGTCTTTCTCTAGATCAGTGTTTTGACTTCCCAATGCACAATACACTATAGAGCCTTGACCAAACCCGCTCAACCAATGACTCCATTTAGCTTCAAGTGGTTTACTCTTGTTTGGCTCAGGAAACATTGGACCGGTTATGAGAACCTTTTTATGGTATTGGCTCTCGATGTAGCCGCAGAACTTACCCTCAATTTCTTTGCATGTCCTAATCGAAATGAAATCACAATTCATAAGACCTGTGATGTGCCTATGAGAGAACCTCTTGTAGTATACAGAGAAGGACAACAAGGCGTGAGCGTCATGTTCGCGGTACAACAACTTTGATGAAGGATAACCAGGTGGAGGAACTCCTAGTTCACCACCTGGAACAAAGTCATGAGCAATAGATGTTTCTGATATCATATTATACAACATACTCTTGACTCTTATGTTCTTTAGCCATTTATGGAACCCAACAAGCAATATCGAACAAGATCACGTCAGGACACAAGGCAAGAAACCGCGGTTTCAACTTGACCGCGTGTGAGATCTATAGCTGGAGGCAAGAACTTCCACAACGAGATGGGTATATCCGAGAAAGTCTTGGCTCCAGGAGCACTACAAGAAAACAAGGTTGTAACCGACGGGCATACCGACGGAAATATTTCCGTCGGTAATTACTGACGGATTACCGACGGACAAATCAACCGTCGGTAATCCGTCGGTTATTAAACGAGGATCACATTCCGTCAATAATCCGTCGGTAATCTATCCATATTACCGACGGATTACCGATGCCAATGAGTACGTCAGTAATCCACCAGTTTTACCGACGGATGACTGACGGAATGTTACCGTTTTTATAATTTGTCGGAAATCCGTCGGTAAATAGATACGTTAATATAGCCGTTTTATAGCCGTTTAAATTTTCAGAATAACCGACGGATTATTGACGGATTATTGACGGAAACGTGGTTATTTTCCCTTTACATAGCCAAGCCACTCATTCTTACCATCTCACTTCTTATTCTATGAGAACAAATACGAAAATGTCATATTCAAATTATTTTCGATCATGGATGGACGAACCGATGTTTGATCCGGAGTCGAATCTACTGAGAGATGAGTACGCTCGTGGTGTAGGAGAATTCATGGAATTAGCTTGTCAACAACCGAGCGCCAAAACAACCCGTAAGTTGAAATGTCCATGTTCGCTTTGTCAAAATTCTCATAATATTAGGATTGATTTAGTATGGGGTCACCTTTATGCCAATGGTTTTATGCCGGGTTACAAGATTTGGTTTCTCCATGGCGAAAGATCTGAGTACGGTAGTTCTAGCGAACCATATATTTTTGATAGCGTAGAGGAACCTAGAACGGAAGTAGATTATGGTGTAGGTACTGTTCAGATGGTGAATGATGTGTACAGGGAAAATATGCAGTCGGTAGGAGAAAATGTTGATAGGGTAGAGGAACCTAATGCAGAGGCACAAATGTTTTTTTCTATGTTAGACGCAGCTAAACAGCCGTTATATGGAGGGTGTAGAGAAGGTCATTCGGCTTTATCATCTGCGAGCAGATTGATGACGATAAAGACGGACTACAATTTGGCTGAGGAATGTGTGGATGCGATAACTGATTTTGTTAAAGACATTTTGCCTGAAGATAACAATTTTCCTGGTACATATTACGAGATTCAAAAGTTGGTCGCTGGTCTTGGTTTGCCATATCAGATGATTGATGTCTGTGAAGATAATTGTATGATATTTTGGAGGGAAGATGAAAATAGGACAAGTTGTCGATTTTGTCATAAACCGAGATTTTTGTATTAGTTTAAGTTTTTTTTGTAAAGACTAAGGTTTTTTTAAGGATTGGATTCTTGGAAGAATTGGGTTTTTCAATGAATTGTTTGTTTTTGTAAACAATTATTAGAAGTTTAGTAAAATTGTATATTTAGGAATTTTATTTTGTGAATAAATATTGATTTCATTTTGTATTATTGATTATATGAAATATTATTTAGATTTGTGTTGTAGATTTTATGAATTTTTAAAATATAAATTAATTTGAATACTAAATTAATATGAATGTTTGTAGGAACTATGCTAGTTACGCTCAACACTCGTCTAGCCACAATATCGGAGAAGGAAGTGGCTCTCGATCACGTTCTAGCCCCGTTGCGGATTCACAAGCTTCTACTCCCTTAGAGATGACCATTGAAGATTTTGTCTCTCAACCAGGACGAGAACGAATCCCGGAATTACATCCAAATTCTATACCAGGTACGACATGGTTCCAGGTATCTCACAACGGCATCTCCAAATCTATTTTGCGTATGATGCAAGGAATCCTTAAGAAACCGTATGCAACATTCTCGAAGATGCCTTCGCGTGAACAAGAGATGTGGCTGAAGCAGTTTGCGGTAATAATTTTAAATTTAATTACTTGTTTAAAATATTATTTTTGGGCTAATGTATATTGTTTTGGTATTTTAGCAAGATTTTAATTGGCATCGGGATTTCACTAATGATGTTCGAAAAGAGTTCTTCAAAGCGGCTGCTTTGCAATATAGTAGAACTTTGAGTGAGTGGAAGAAAAGGTGGAAGAAGGGAAAAACGCCAAAAGGGGTGAACCAAGAAGTGTTAGATGGTTTGGTAAATTATTGGGGTGAACCAGATACAATGTCACGTGCCAAACAAAACTCTTTGAACAGAAGAAGCGAACGTGGCGGATTAGGCATGGCTACTCACAATTCTGGTCCGATAAGCGCCTCTACTCGAGAACGCCAACTTGTAAGTTTTAATTTTTTTGTGCAATTCATATTTAGAATCCTGAAATCTATATATAACAACAAATTCTTCGTTTAGACTATTAGGGATGGTGTTGTGCCCGACCATCTTACTTTGATGGAGGAAATGCACACGAACAAAAAGACAAAACAGTTACAAGATGGTCGAGCTAAACTGGTTATTGAGGCTTCAAGGAGGCGTAAGGAGGAGATTCAACTTTCCCAACCTATTGTACAATCTGCTGATGGATCGGAGTCTACGGTTGAATTGGGACGAGAGAAAGTGAACGAGATTTTTTTCGAGGTAATATGTCTAGGTTTCTTCAAGTTTACTTGATTTTATTGTAAAATATTTAAATTAATTTTTTTTTCTAATGCCTTTGTAGGAAACTCACAAAACTAAAGGACGGATTTTTGGATTAGGAAATCTCTCCCAAATAAGTTCTTCTTCTCGTTCATCGGGTTACTCATATGGTCCCATTCAAGAGTTCCAACAAGCTATGAAAGACAAAGATGAGCGGATTGCGACTTTGGAGAAGCAAATGCAAGAACAATTAGCAGAGAACAAGAAGAGAGACGAGGAGCTAGCAGCATTCATGAACGAGATGCGATCGAAGATGTCATCTTCTTAGATTTTAATAAATTTTAGTATTTTCAAGAATAAATTTTTAGTTTTTCAAACAATTTAGTGTTTTCAGTTTTAAAAATATTTACTAAAAATTCTGAATTTAGAAATTTAAATATTTATGCATTTTTATTAATTAATTTGTATTTTAAAAATAATTTATTTAGCTAAATTATTTACCTAAATAATTTTTTAAATAAAATTTTAATTATCCGTCGGAAATCCGTCGGTTTAGACGGAGAATATTTCTCGAGATTCCGTCGGTAAACCGTCGGTTAAGACGGAGAATGTCGGACCTTCGTCTTCGAGATTCCGTCGGTAATCCGTCGGTTATGACGGAAAACATTTCTCGAGAGTCCGTCGGTAATCCGTCGGTTACGACGGAGATTTTTGGATTTTCGTTTTCGAGACGCCGTCGGTAATCCGTCGGTAAAATTCAAAATGTATTGACGGATTACCGACGGAAAACTGATGCCCATTGTCCGTTGGTAATCCGTTGGTTTATTGGCCGTCGGAAATCCGTCGGTAATTACCGATGAATTACCGACGGATTATTTTTTACCGACGCTCTAGAACCGACGGACGTTTCCGTAAATAATCCGTCGGAAAAGACTGTTTCCGACGGATTACAGACGGATATGACCGTCGGTTTGAAGCTGTTTTCTGGTAGTGGAGGAAGACCATCAACGTCGGGAATAGTAAGAGGATGAAAGATGATGCTTTCTGGAAAGAGATTGAGATGTTCAAGTTGCTTTTGAGTTTTCTTGGGAAGCAAGAAAGTGATTTTATGACCTTTCTCAGCTAACTTGTTGGCTAGATGCAAGTATGGAGTCATATGACCAAAAGCAAACCATAGGAACATAAATGCATGGAACTTTTGGCCCATTTTGTAAGTCTTGAAAGAGTGCTAATTAAAAGAATAAAATTTTGTATTTGCAATCATAAGGATTTTTTCATTTTTCTTCTTTTCGCAAAAGATTGCTTAGAAGTCTTGTGATGCTCTTCTACTCACATGGACATCCTTATATGTAGTTTGCAAAGTGAAAATGTATGAAAGGTGCTTTAGATTAAAAATTCATGGTGGAATACTGATTTTAAGTTAATTATTAGCTGTTAATTGGTGGTTTAAGTTAATTATTCGTAGGGAAGTAATGCATGTGTTGCATGTGCCACTGCCATGTTTCTGTTATTACACATTAAGGTTATGTAGTGCCCTAGTAAAATACATAACATTAAGCATGGTTGACTCTATTAAACAAAGAACACACAAATTTAAAGTCTTACAAAAGTTTTGTATGATTGCATGCCATGTGGTCTAATTAAGAAAAGTTGTTTGATCGAGTTACAATACTCCATGTTTTACATAGGTCCCGGGATTTACCCTGAGTAATCAAAAAAAAAAAAAAATACTCTCTGTTTTACAAAGATTGTCATTCTGAAAAAAATATATTTGTATTTCATAGAGAACGTCATTTTACATTTTCAATGTTATAAACCGAATTTCCTAATTTTACCCTTAATCTAAAATTAATTAAATTATTAAACACTTATTAAATAGGGGTATATGTATGATTCAATGTTTTATTAATTTGTCTGAAATGTGTCAAAGTAACACTCTTTGTGAACACTCTTTGTGAAACAGAGGGAGTATTACTTATTATTTATTAATCATATATATATAAGTAAGGTTTCACTCTCTCTTTATTGGTCCATTTAATATTTAATTTTAATTAAAACAAAAAAAAACACATTTAATCATATACATTAATTCATACTTTAAATCCACACTTTACTACTAAAATGTAACTGAAAATTATATACATTTTCAGACTATTGGTTTTTAATGTAATTTCAATTAAACACACTAGAAATTATAATTATGACTCCTCTAATTTAATTAATTTAAAAATGTAACTTACATCACTTCTTATCCAATAAGTAGTCATTCTCACATCCTCCTCTATCATATCTCATATCTTTATTATTTTCTTTGTTTTTTAAAAAAACGTTCTTGCATGGGGGTGAAAAATCAATTAAGATGTCATTGTAAGAGTTTGATTAAATATTTGGTTTAAACTTTTTTTTTCCATTTTATTTATTTTTTGGTTTTATGTATTTCTTCATTTATTCATTGTTTATTTATATGTTTAAATGTAACACATATGTATAATAATATTTAATGGTTATAAAAAATTATTTTATTGATGGGATTCAAAAATATTGATTTCCGACCATCGCAGCATAAGAAAATTAAGCTAAAGAAACCATCTTCATTCTTTTACTTTGGATGTTTGTTTCTTTCTCACATATTCATGTATATTTATTTTATTTTCAAAAGTGTGTACAAAAACTTTTTTTGTTATATAATTATTATCAAACCAATTTATAAGACATTATTTTAAGAATAATGATTCAACATTTAATAATATAAAGAACATTATAATTTTAAATTTTATAATTGATTTCCTATGCATGTATGCTTATATTATATGATTTAAATAAATAAAGTGTAAAAATGTCATAAGCATTGAAAATTATTTAGACTGTTTTTTATAAGTAGTAAATAAACTAAAATTGATTAACTTAACACACAACAACCCGCGCATATCATTACCTAGTTGGTATAATAGCTGTGAAACGTACATCTTAATAAGTAAATAAATGCCTTAAGAAAAGACTTATTATTGACTTATTCAAAACAGCTATATAATGTACTTTTTTATCTTAATTAATTTTTTAAGACTTTTAACATATATTAAAAAAATTATTAAAATTTGATCATACAAGATTTTGTTTTTTTGTGACCACGAGGCAGCTTCCAGACGGGCACGAGAATATTAAGGTTCGAGACTTATGGAGAGAGTATGGTGGTTGGGATTTTTCACAAATCCAACCCTATGTTTCGGAGAACATCCGGCTACAGCTGGGAGCGGTCGTGGTGGATAATGTCAAGGGTTCAAAGGACCATCCTTCTTGGGGAGAATGTTCAGATGGTAGGTTCACGGTTCGATCTGCCTACGCTCTCTTAACTCGGGATTCAGAACCAAAACAATGCATGGAATGCTTTTTTGAAAAGGTTTGGCGGGTTGTTGCTCCGGAGAGAGTAATATGGCTCTCGGCTCACCAAGTGCTTATGACTAATGTGGAGCGGCACCGTCGACATTTAGGAGATAGTGGAGTTTGTCAGGCTTGTAAGCAAGGTTACAAAACAATTCTCCATGTTTTAAGGGATTGTCCGGCCATTGTGGGCATGTGGGAGAGAATTGTTCCGTCGCGGCAGCATCGATCATTTTTTGCAAAATCTTTGATCGAATGGATTTATGAGAACTTAAGTTCTGAGGTCGAGATAAATGGTACTCCTTGGTCGACTTATTTTGCAGTTGGTGTTTGGTGGGGATGGAAATGGCGCTGTATAATCTCTTTGGTTCGACTACCAAGTGTCGGGATCGGGTAATTTTTTTAAAGAACCTGGCGAGTGAATTTCATTTAGCACATATGAATATGGTCTCAAAGCAGAATAGGATCACGAGGGAGGAGCGGTTGATTAAGTGGGTCTACCCCAGGGAAGAGTGGGTGAAACTAAATACCGACGGAGCATCTCGGGGTAATCCTGGATTAGCAAGTGCTGGAGGGGTTCTTAGGGATCATCATGGGGAGTGGTATTGTGGATTTTCTTTGCATATTGGAATTTGTGCAACACCGTTGGCAGAGCTATGGGGAGTTTATTATGGATTATATATTGCTTGGGCAGGGGGGATTACCCGGTTGGAGTTGGAGGTTGACTCTGAAATGGTGGTTTGTTTTTTGAAGACTGGGATTAGTGGAACTCATCCTTTGTCTTTCCTAGTACGTATGTGCTATGGCTTTCTTTCGAAGGACTGGTTAGTCCGTATCTCACATGTGTATAGCGAAGATAATCGTCTTGCCGATGGATTAGCGAACTATGCATTCTCGTTACCTCTAGGTTTCCACATGTTCGAGTCTATTCCGGAGTCGTTGGCTTCGATTCAGTTTGAAGATGCTCAGGGGATCTCGCGGCCGAGGCTCGTTCGTTTGTAGTTTATTTTCTTCTATTTTTTCTGTTCTTTGTTTTTAATTTGTGGGAGATCTTGTCTCCCTTTTTCCCACCAAAAAAAAAACCAATGATATTCAATTAATTTTCTTAAAATTTACTGTTAATTTATCAATAATATAGCATTAAAAAAAACTTAAAAATGTACTTCTGAAAAACAAAACAAAAAATCATAGAAAATTGATTAATAAGAAAGAGAAGGATTACATCTAAATATGTAACACTTATTAGTCTTTAAGAAAAGACTATTGACTTATTCGAAACAGCTATAAGGTACATCTTAATTATAATTAAGTAAATGCCTTAAGAAAAAAATACCTTAATAAGTGAAGTCTTTATTTAAAATTTGTATAGTTGACTAGATTCTCCAAAGTGTGAATAAACTTATCGGTGTAACCAGTTAATAATCCAGGACTAGCCAAAGTCTCCTTCAATTTGGAGTGGTTCCTCCTCATTTGATTCCCTATCTCGCTGTCTTTGTCCATCAAAGACATGATTGCACCACTTAGGTTTTCTTTTGAGAACCATCTTGTCTCTTCTCTCTTCACCTCAGCAGAGACCTCAAGTTCCTCTGTCATTACTTTCGTGGTGAGAACTTGGTCATCCATAACTGGAAGCAAGACTATTTGACAATGACTTATTATAGACTCCCACATTGACCCGAATCCGTAATGGCTCACAAAGCAGCCTACTGATGGATGAGCCAATAACAATGGTTGCCATGATTGTTGTTGCACCAATTCTCCCCAAACCATTCCATGATCCTTCACCCTTTCTTAAAAGCCTTCTGGTAACGCTTCTTGAACTGTCTTTGAACCTTTTGGTGGCTTTACCGCGACAAGGAAGGGTAAACCTGTAAGCTCTATTCCTAAACAGAGTTCATGGAATTGTTTTTTCTCTAGAATGGTTTGACTCCCCAATGCACAGAACACTATGGAACCTTGTCCAAACCTATTCAGCCAATAAGTCCACTGATCTTCAAGTTGTTTACTCTTGTCTAGCTCAGGAAGCATTGGACCAGTTAAGAGAACCTTCTTCTTGTATCGTTCCTCAATATAGTTACAAAATTTACCTTTGATTTCTTTGCATGTCCTAATCGAAATGAAATCGCAATTCGTAAGACATGTGGTGAGCTGATCGGCTCAAATTTGCCCTGAGCTACTCTCTCAATTAAGAGATCACTGTAGTACTTAGGGATCGAATCCACAGAGACTCAAAGATTACACAGTAAATATTCGGTATTAAAATTAAGCTAAACAAACAGGTTTTAAATCAAACAAAAACAGAAAATTAAAATAAATATTGGTTTTTAAACAGTAATGAGGAAACACTAGGCCTAGGGATATTCTCAGGAAATTCAGAATTGCAAATAAATAATTGCCAGGATTTACAAAGCACCGTTCTTGAACTCAAATCAGAAAATTATAATCAATCAACTTTCGTTGCAAAGACTATTTATGTCTAAAACCCTAAATTCCAAATCTCTTTGCAAATTTATAAGTTTCAGACATGCATTTAATTCAGGTTTGATAAGTTCACAAAATCCCTAAACCAAATCTCTTTGCGAATAGGAATTTTGCTCATCTAGATTATTTTCAGGAAATCAATAACACTTTCGTGTCTACCAATTAACCTAAGATCATATTCTAGGTTGCTTTCACTACTCTAGAACAAATTAACCACAATCTAGATGAAGAACTCTATTGATTCAATCCTAACAATCTAACAACCTAACAATTCATAAATTCCTTTGAAAACCCTAAACCTAACAAGAAATCTACTCAAACATGGTGAATGAAACAAACATCATGAAT